ATATATATATATATATATATATATATATATATATATATATATATATATATATATATATATATATATATATATATATATATATATATATATATATATATATATATATATATATATATATATATATATATATATATATATATATATATATATATATATATATATATATATATATATATATATATATATATATATATATATATATATATATATATATATATATATATATATATATATATATATATATATATATATATATATATATATATATATATATATATATATATATATATATATATATATATATATATATATATATATATATATATATATATATATATATATATATATATATATATATATATATATATATATATATATATAATTTAAATGTGTATTTATTTATTATGTATTTTTGTTTATTATTTATGTATATTCTATTATTTATTTATTAGTCTTTTGAAAAAGAATTTTTAGTAATCGTTTTATTTTTCATGAAGCTTTGTTAATCCAATTATTACTTCTTTAATATATTATAATTTATTTATAATTTTATTTATATTATTTATTTATTAATATTATTATTTGTATATTTATTTATGTATTTACATTTTAATTTTTTTATTTATTTATTTATGTATTTGTTTATTTATTTTATATACTACTTATTCATTAGATGTTTGGAAATAAATTTATATTAATTATTTTATTCTTAAGGTATTCTTAAGGCATCGTTATTATAAGGTTTAATATATTCTAATATATTTATTATTTTATTGTTTTAATTATATTATTTATTCATTATTTTTTATTTATGTATTTATTATTATTTATTTATTAGACTTTTAAAAATATTTTTTTATTAATCATTTTATTCTTCAGGAAGCTTTGTGAATCCAATTATTACTGCTTTGATATATTCTAATATCACAAAGCCCTTGTATAGTTTTGTAAATAAATATTTTCACATAGAAACACAGACCCAAAGCTGAAAGTACATAAATAAATGTCTCTTTTCACTAAGGATTAAACTGGTTGCTCTTTCGAGAAGCAAAATAAATATTGATAAATCACAGACTAATGCATTACCGCAGACATTCTCCATTAAAGCTTCTGCTCTTTTAGTCTTTTCAGGGTCAGGAGGAAAGTGGCCCAGGCTACTGATCTGCTACAGAGGAACATTTGGGTGAGTCCTAATGTCATTTCCAGCTCCTATTACACTGATGTTGCAGTAATTTCATTACGGTGAATATTTTCCGAGCGGCCTCCAGCTTTGTGTGGAGCTGCACAAAAGAAACGCTGCATTGCTGTTTTCACTGAGAAAAACACTGCAGAGACACATCCAGGCCACACACATACACACCCACCTGGGTCCCACTTTATATTAAGTGGCCTTAACTGCTATGTACTTACATCAAAAAATAAATACAATGTACTTACTGTGTTTATAATGTATTTGAGAACACTTGTGGTGCTTTTGAGTTGGGATAGAGGTTGGGTTATGGATAGATTTAGTGGTATGGGTAGGTTTAAGGGTGGGTTAAGGTGTAAGGGATGGTCAACAGTGTATTTACAAATGTAATTACATACATGGATTTAATCAAGCATAAGTACACAGTCAATACATGTATTTACACAATAAGTACAATGTAACAAACTATTAATTCCTCTGTAAGTACATAGTAGTTAAGGACACTTAATATAAAGTGGGACCTATTTATTGCCCTAACTCTACCCATAAACCCAAGCTTCAAAGGAAACTGGACAGTTCTACTTTCTGAAGAAAAAAAACTCATTCTGTGTGATTTATAAGCTTTTTAGAAATGAGGACATTCAGCAATGCCATCATATTTCACCAAATTCTTGTAATACCTGTCATACCTATGTCATTATAAAGATTTATGTCCTGATATGTCACAAAAACATGCGCACACACACACACACACACACACACACTCCCATACACACACTTCTATCAGTATCTCCAGCAGAGGAAAGTTACTATTTTAATGATATTTTGCATACAGTTTTGTATTTTTCAGTCCTTTATATTATAATATTTTAGTTCATGATTTCATTTTAATTTAGTTTTAGACATTTTAGAATTGTTTTTGTCTTGTTTCTAGTCCTGATATCTACAAAAACGAGAAGCATTTAAGTATAAAATACTGTTTTGTTTTTAGAAATAATGAGTCAAAACGAAGAAAGTTTCTTAAAATGAGCAAAATAATCTGCCAGACAGTGCGGGACGTAAATGTTAGCATCAAACTGCTATTATAATAATATTACTATTTCTTTTTTTTAAGTTTTTGTCTAGTTTTTAGTCCCAATATTTACAAATTCTGACATCAAGAAGCATTTTCTGAATGATTAAAACTAAATACTGATTTTTTTTTTTCAGAAATATTGAGTCAAAATGAAGCAAGTTTCTTCTAAAAATGAGCAAAATAATCTGCCAGACAGTGCGGGACGTTTTAGCACCAAATTACTTTTTTAACAATAGTTTGGATAAAGTTTTGTGTACTTTATATTTGTTATATTTTAGTTTTTAATTTCATTCTGTAAGTTTCATTAAGTTTTTAGCACATGCACAGTTACACTTGAGAAATTAATTAAAATTACTGTGTAGATAAACACTGCAAAAAAAGTGTTTTTTTGACTTGTTTCTAGTCTAAATATACTGTATAAAAATTCCTTTTCTAAACAAGTAAAAATAATGATTTGTTTTTAGAAATAAGTTCAAATAAAGTGAGTTTCTAATCTGCCAGTGAGGTAAGCTAAATAATCTTATTTGAAGCTGAAATCAAGATTATAAATCATACATTTGTTGTCTGTCATTCATTCATTCATTCCTTCATTTTCCTTCGCCTAGTCCCTTATTTATCAGGGGTCACCACAGCGGAATGAACCGGCAACTATTCCAGCATATTTTTTTACGCAGCGGATGCTCTTGCAGCCGCAAGCCATTACTAGGAAACACACTCACATTCACACACACACTCATACACTACGGCCAATTTAGTTCATCCAATTCCCCTATAGCGCATGTGTTTGGACTGCAGAAGAAACCAGAGCACTTGGAGGAAACCCACGCCAAAATGAGGGAAACATGCAAACTCCACACAGAAATGCCAACCAGACTCAAACCAGCGACCTTTTTGCTGTGAGGCCACAGTGCTAACCACTGAGCTGCCCTCTGTCATTTAGGGAAAAATGATTGGAAAGTGCTTGAAATGTTCCTGCAATTCACTCTTCCATGCAAACATCATCAGTAAAGCAGTTACAGAGGAACATAATAGTGTTGCATGTTGCTTTTGTATCCTGCCAATGCCATCCAAACAGAAGATGAGTCACATTGTGACCCAGACAAGGATCTATAAATAACCCAGGTTTCCAGAAAGCTCCTCTTGGGTACTAATGGAGAAAAGCGCCCGGATACAATGACACCTGCATACACATCAATGCTCCGAACAGCTGCCTTCACGAATGAATGCACTGAAAGTAATCCCTTTCCTCCTGTATTTTTCATTT